CAGATTTACAAGAAAAGAAACAAAAAAAAAGCATAAAAACAATCAACTTAATTAGACGAAAAAAAAAAAAACACTCAGAATAGTAAGAAAACTAAACAAGCTGAGTAGATGGAAAAAGCCAGTTCACTTAATATCATCTTGGTTCTCTTGGGACATTTGGTGTACTGAGCGAACATTTTAATTTCAATCCTTCTGTGACCAATGATGTCGTGAACTCGCCAAGATTGTGTTCTTTCAATTTTCTGCCTTCCAGCTTGCCCGAAGAGGGTTTTCCGAGGAGTTCGATTTTATGGACCGTATGTGAGATTTTACGTCCTTAGCAACGCGTGGAAAATAGATTAACGAGTGCCGGACTCGTAAACACTCCGTTTAGTAAATGTCCGAGATCATTTACACCTGATCAAAAGCTAAGTCACAATGAACGGAGTCAGTGATTAGCATTTAATAAACAATCGAGCTTTTGTACAGCGATAATTAGCATAGAAATGTTCAAATATGCTATTTCGAATGGGAACTTGGTTATGCTACAAAAAAGAATGATAATTCGAAGTCAAAGCTAACCTTAACAAGGAACAGTGAGAACGTAAAAATCAATCTAACAATGGTCTTTTGATGTGAAGCAAACACGTTTTGAGTTGACTCTTAGAAATGTGTAGCGATTGCAAATTCATTACGTTCGCTAGTAACGAGTTCTACAACCGAGGGATCGCCGCAGTGACATAGATCTTCCATTTTGAAACGAATTGCTAAGAATTTGGCGAGGTTGACAACACTGCGGGACAGTTCATTGTAGAAAATCACGCTGTAGGTATAGATATAGGTATAAGGAATGTCTACATTCGAGCCTATCTTCTGTTTCAGTAGCATGAAACGACGAGGAGTCTCTACTCCCCCCCTCCTCCACCCCCCACAAATGGGATGTTAGTCTGTCGCAGGGCTTCTCCCAACAATAAAAACTGGTCGCTACCCACTTGGACACCTGGGTGGAGACTGAGGCACTTACAGAGTTAGGGCTTGAACCCAGGCCGCCTGACGGGGGGTCCAGAAATAACCATTATACCACCGCGCCTTTATAAAGCATGGTATATTACTTGCCCTCCCTTGTTGTGACCGGAACTAATTGTGTTCATCGCACGTAGAGGAGCTTCTTTGGTTGATTAACAATAAGTTTACGCACATGGTGCATACTTTCATCACACTGACGTCATCCAGGTCTGGACCTGAATGTAAAAAGCACTGTTATATAGATGCGTCCAACTTTTACATTGTTTTCGCAGCGAGTCTTATCGACAGTCAAAAAGATACAAAACTTAGAGCGCACACTGTAAACTTAGCTTTTAAACTCCGCTCATTTGTTGGATAGTTCTCAGTTAAAATTATATATTGTGCCAAAGCCAAACTGAACTTGCACACGGTGTGAAATTGATGTTGTTTCGTGAGAGTTCATGTTCGCAAGCGGCGAGCCAGTGGCAATTTACGTTACGATGTGGGCTAAGGCTAAAACTAGGCAGGTTTTGTGTTGCTGTAACGGTGTTCTGAGGACATCAACTTCTCAAGTTTG